CAGAGATGGAGGCCAAGACCAGCAAGGCTGTGGTCCTGAGCCAGCACAGGCTCGGCTGTGGCTTTGTGTGTCAGAGACAGACAGGACTAAAGACTTGCGTGTGGGGACATTCTCGTCCCTGAGATCCAGGACCCATGGGGCTCGTGGGCAGGGAGGAGGGCTGGCGTCCACGCAACCCGCTGCCCACAGAAGTCCTGCGGGGCCTCAGGCGGGGGCCAGGGCAGTGCTGGGGAGCCAGGTACAGGCCAGCGCTGTGGCAGTGCCAGGCTGCCAGGGCTCTCTGATGTGTCCTGCCCAGCACTTGGCCCGGGACCGGCTCAGCAGGTAGCGTGGGCAGACAAGGGCTCTCGGAAGAGCCCTTTGATGTGGAAGGGGGGAAGGCTTGCTTTTCTTCTTTTTTTCAAAATGTATTTTATTAGTGCCTATTAAATTTATCTTTTATTTTTTGAAAAGTTTACTGAAAACTTTTATTGTAATCAAAACGTGACACAACGGGGTTGTAGTGAATTCAGCAAATCATTCTGCTGATATTTTAGAACTTATATCAGCTTTTGCCAGGCAATTAAAAACATTCAAATGTGAAAATTTCACAATAAACTCCACCTCAGCCAATTAATGGTGGTTAAAAATAATAGACCCTAGCAAAACCTCTCATGTTACATGGTCACAACTCACAATTCTGTACAAAAGCTCATGTTATAAGTCCCTGATGTAAAAATACAGTAATCAAGCAGCCATATTTTAAGTGCAGCACAGGATCCTCCACGAGTGCCTGTTAATTTTACCAAAGCCTGGTTTCAGTGTGGAGTTTCCGTGTGTGCATATATCTTGGTCACACCCATCCCATTATCCTCCTGGGTCCCTCTGGCCCCCTCCTGGTCCTTTCCTCTTGTCTAACAGTCTTCCTTCTACTTCCATGCTATCTTTTTTAGACTCCACATGTGAGGGAGAACATGGGATATGTGTCTTCCTGAGTCTGGCTTGTTTCCCTTAACATGATGCCCTCTGGTTCCTTCCATCTTCCTGCACATGGCAAAGTGTCGTTCCTCTTTATGGCTGAACAGTTCTCCATGAGTTATGCACCTCAGTCCCTCATTCTTCTGCTGCTGGCCTAGTTCTGGATCCTGGCCCCTGGGAAGGCACTGCATGAACAGGTCTGCAGGTGTCCCCACAGTGTGCTGACTTTAGCTCCCTTGTGTGCACCCTGAGGAGCGGCATAGCGGGGTCATACGGGAGTTCTCGTTCTAGCTTTTGCGGAACCTCCATCCCGATGTCCACAGCGGCTGTACTAATCCGCATTCCTACCGGCAAGGCGGGAAGGTTCCTTTCCCCCACGTCCTCACCAGCAGTTGTGGCTGTTGCTTTTTTGTTCTTGTTGGTTTCTGTGTTCTTGATGATGGCCACTCTGACTGGGGTGAGGTAGTCTCAGTGTCGTTTTGACCTGCATTTCCCTAGTGACTAAATATATTGGACTCACTGGCCGTTTCTACTTATTCTTTGAGAAATGTCTGTTCAGTTCACTTGCCCACTTATTGATTGGGCAGCTTTGATTTTCTGGTGTTAAGTTCCTTGAGTTTTTTAATATATTCTCAAAGCTAATTCTCTGTTGGAAGAGTAACTGGAAAAGCCTTTCCCCTGTTCTGTGGGCTCCTCTATGCTTGGTCAGACCCAGAAGTGGGTCCCCTGCTGTTCCACAGCCCTTCCTGCCGGGTAAGGTGGAACCTGCGGTGGCTGGGATCTCTGTCTCTGTTGGCGATGTTGGCGATGTTGAGCATTTTTCTTAGACCTGCTGGCCGTTTGTCTCTTCTGGAGAAGCGTCCATCTAGTCCTCTGCCTGTTTCTAACTTGGCTGTGTCTTGCTGTTGAGCTGAATTCCACGTGTGTTTTGGATCCTGCCCTGTTAGATCATGGTTTGCAGATGCCTGCTCCCTTTCTGTAGGTGGTCTCTTCTCTCTGCTAAGTGTTTCCCTTGCTGTGCTGAAGGATTTCGGCTCACTGCAATCCCATTTTCTATTTTTGCTTCTGTTGCCTGTCTTTTTGAGACCATGTCCAAAATATCATTACCAAGGCCAATGTTGCGGGGCTTCTAAAGCAAGACGGAAATACGAATGTGTAAGGAGGAGCTCAAGTGTGGACCGCAGTCGGGTTACTAAGCTGGGTGGATCAGGTGACAGCACAGAGTGAGGGAAAGACGCTGTCCCTGGGTGGGACCCCACCCTCTCGGTGGCCGGGCACTGCTTTGTCTCTCCGGCCCAGCTAGACGCCCTGGGGGCAGGGCAGCAGCTGCAAGAGCCGGGCAGCAGATGCCCCATGTGGGGTGGGCAGCTGTTCCTCTGGGTGGTGCCTGTGCCATGCCGTGCCAGGCTGCAAGGCCACAGCTCGGGGTGGCGGCCCTGCAGGCAGAGTGGGCGGCCCCAGGCGGGTGGCAGGGCCCAGGCAGACAGGCCAAGCGGCTGGTGCACGCTGCACGCCACATGTGTTCCGGATGGGCCATCTGTGTGGAGGGAGGCACGCAGCCTGCAGAAGAGCGTCGGCCTGCCCGCCCACCTGTTGTGGGCCCTGTCCTGTGGTGTGCGTGGCCCCAGACTCAGGCAGAGCTTGTCTGCGGCCGTCGGGGCCTGGCTGCGGGCCTGAACACTTGGGAGGTGGATGCATCCGCCCTTTGTCCATTCTCTTTATTCTTGTCTCTGTTTTTGTAAACTGAATCAAGAAGACGTAAACGTGATGCACTTCAGTGGGCTGCCATGAAATGTTTTCAGGCACGGCTGTTATGTGATGTTTGAACCTGCCACCTCCAGCAGTCAGCATTTCTCAGGCCTCTGTGGCGGAAACATTCCACGTGCTTTGCTGGCTTCTGCGGTCCCGAGGTGTGTCTGTCACCTGCTGTCACCCTGCTGTGCGGCAGCACCCCCGAACTGCTTGCTCAGGTCATTCTGTCCATTTCACTGGTTCCTGTGTTGGTTTATTTATGGGAAGCCACGTGTCTATGCACACACACACAGTGACTTTAACATTTTTCTTGATTCATTTGTCCGTGTCTGGCACCTGGAGTGAACCCAGGGCCATGTGTGCTCCGCATACTCTACTGGGCTGGTGTCAGTGTCTCTGTGCCTTTTTTTTCTGGCGACACAGACATTTAAAAAAATACTTCCAAATAATCATGTGAAATAGTCAAATATATTAATTTCTCAACATCTTGTGAGTTTAGAATTACAGAGAAAAAAGCATTCCCTATTCTAAGGTTATATGTAAGCCCCTCATCATTTTCAGTGCTTTCTTTAAATATTTAATTACTCATACAGGTACTTTTACCTGTGTATATAATCATGTCACAGAGCCTTTTTTCAGGTGAGAACCCTTTTTCTTCTTCCCCCCTGGATTTCCTCCCTTCCCACGCCATCTCCACCCAGGGCCCTGTCCAGTGGGGAGACCCAAGACACAGCCTTGTGCTGTAATCACGATGTTCTCAGAAAATGGTGGTCTTTGTTTACAAAAGCCAGCTTATGTCCCCACCCGTTTTGTGTCCTGCTGTTTAAGTCCCACCATGGGACTCTCAAAGCCGCAGCCCTGCACCTCTTCCTCTGCTTGGGCGAATGCCTCAGCTTCCTTCCCGCAGGGCTTCAGGGCAGGACTGCACTTGAGCTTGGTGTCCCGAGCTGCTGACGGGATGGTCCAGGCCACTGCCCAAGCCCAGAGGCCCCGCCAAGCCCCTCGCATCCCAAGTCCGCCACCCAGGCCAGTGTGCCATCTGCCTGAGCAACGTCATGCCAGGGCCACTGTAGCACAGCAGCACGTGGCATCGCCCCGAGACAAAGGGCAGCCTGCAGCAGGTGCAGCCGTCTACTGCATGTGAGGCTATGATGGCCTCCCCGGCGCCCCGTCTCCTCGTGGCTCTGTCGACCCCTCAGGCTGGCCGTGGCCAGGGAAGTGCTTGTGAACTGCAGTCCCCTGCCACCTCTCCTGTGCACGTCCCTGTCCTCGCCCTGTTCTTCCCCGCTGTCTGTGTGTCCCCTCCCCTGCCCACCCCAGCTACTGTGCACAGCCCCGCCCCCCTGGGCACTCCACGGGAGCGCTGTGGGCAGTCCAGGCTGAGGCCTCTCTGGGGTGCTGGCTCGTGCTAGCCTCAGGGGTGCCTTCCTGTCTGGAATGAAGGGCTCCGCCGTGTGAGCTGGGTTTGAGTTGGGGTGCTTCCGACCGCCTGCTTCTGGCGGAGCTGTGCTGCCACCGTCCTGCTCCTTGTGCCCCCAGAGTAGCTGTCCTGGGGCTCCGATTCCTGAGGGCCCCGTATGGGTGCGCGCTGTCACCTCAGTCGCAGATGAGCCCGGCTGTCCAAGGTGGCCTCGGTCCCTGAGCCCTCCTTGCTCCAGTCCTCCCGCCGGCCCAGAGGCACCTGGTCCAGGGGCCCTCGGTCCCAGGGCAGAACCTCTGTAGGGTGGATGGCTCCCAGCCCTGTGTGGGGCTTGGTGAAGGAGGCCCCCTGAGGCGGAGACCCCAGATGTTCCCAGAGGAGCCAGGCATGTGGCCCTGCCCTGTGGCTGCGGGCCGTGCATGGGGCAGCTCTGAGGGCACCTCTCCCTCTCTGGGGCCAGGGTCTGGGCTCGCTGTGTTGTGCCCCTCTGGGGTGCGGGCCTGTGGGTGTACACACAGACCCCAAAGTCTGGGCTTCGGCTGAGGCACTGAGGCCGCTGGGGCCTAGACTCTGCGGTGCCTGGGCCTCACGCCGGCCTGAGGCGGGGTGCGGGGGTGTTTGCATGCTGCGGAGCTGGGCACAGAGGGTGCTCATGGGCATAGCCTGGTGTCTTGGCCTCCGTCGCAACCCGGCTGTGCTCTTGCGGGGGGGCAAGCCGCAGGGCAGGCCACATGTGGATGCCAGGGGCCTTGCTCCTGGCAGTGTGAGGGCTCGGGGCGTGCCCAGGGCCAGGCGCACCCCCTCGTGGCCAGCGCAGGTCCGGATGCTCCCGTCCCCCGCGGAGCACTCCATGCTGCTTTGTCGTCCCCAGGCTGACCGGCAGCGAGCCCCTGACCATCCTCCCGCTGACCCTGGAGCCTGAGGCGGTGGCCCAGGCCCACTACAAGGCCTGCGACCGGCTGAAGCTGGAGCGCAAGCAGCGGCGAATGTGCCGCCGGGACCCGGGCGTGGCCGGGACGCTGGTGGAGGCCGTGAGCATGAGCGCGCTCGAGTGCCAGTACCAGTTCCGCTTTGAGCGCTGGAACTGCACGCTGGAGGGTCGCTACCGCGCCAGCCTGCTCAAGCGAGGTGAGTAGGGCCGCGGCGGGCGCTCCGAGGGCTGGGCGGGCGTGGGCCTCCGTGGCCTCGCTTAGGGCTGGGGCCCTTTCGGGGTTCTCACCCAGCCCTGCTGAAGGCAGGGAACGCCGGGGTTGGAGACGACCCTGGGGCGTGCGCACCCGGCTGGGCCGCACCCGCCTGGCCAGGGGGGACCCAGTGCCCACCCGGACGCGGACGCGTGCACCCGGGGTCGTCCCAGGTGCACCCCGCTGACCCCTGCTGGCCCCGGCCCAGGCTTCAAGGAGACCGCCTTCCTCTACGCCATCTCCTCGGCCGGCCTGACGCACGCGCTGGCCAAGGCCTGCAGCGCCGGGCGCATGGAGCGCTGCACTTGCGACGAGGCGCCCGACCTGGAGAACCGCGAGGCCTGGCAGTGGGGCGGCTGCGGGGACAACCTCAAGTACAGCAGCAAGTTCGTGAAGGAGTTCCTGGGCCGGCGCTCCAGCAAGGACCTGCGGGCCCGCGTGGACTTCCACAACAACCTCGTGGGTGTGAAGGCAAGCGGGCGGGAGCTCCGGGGAGTGGGCTTGGCCGGGAGGCCGGGAGGCCGGGAGGGCGGGAGGGTGGGGCTCTCCCCCCCCCCCGCCCTGGGGTCGCAAGTTCCCGGAGGCCTGTTGTCTGCTGGACACAGGCGACCCTCATCATGGAGGTGTCCTCTGGGCCCTGGGAGAGGGAGAGCTACCTACAGGCTGAGGAACTGGCTGGGTCTGGGGGCTGTAGACAGGATCCCGGGGAAAGGTTGGGGGTGCAGAGCCCACTTGCCCACGGCGGGGACAGCCAGTTATCTGTCCCTGGTCCCTGCCTGTGGCCAGACTCTGCTCCAGGGGCCAGAGACCCAATTTAAAAGACGAGAAGAGGGATTTCTCGGGCCCCAGCAGGCCCTTCTCAGGGTGGGGCCGGCAGGCTGGCCTGGCCCAGCCTTGGGGAAACTAGCTTTTCCGGCTCCAGCGCTACACTGCTGGCAGGGAGCTCTAGATCCCCTAACTCCGAGAATCTGGACGGAGCCCAGGATCCCTGACTGCCAGTCCCTGGACACCCCAAGCCCCCAAGTGTGGGACCAAGGCTGGGCCTTGGGAGGGTTGGGCACCCGCTGTCCTGAGCCGGGGAGGGGCCAAGGTGCCTGGGGCCAGCCCTGCCCGGAGCTGCACCTTATTGAGAATCCCACGCTAATTAAAGTGCTGATCTCCCTTTCCAGCCAGCACCCCTGGTGTCCTGAGCTGGCCTGGCCAGCAGGGACCCCTCTAGGGCAGACCAGGCCCTTTGGCGAGGCTGCTCTGACCGCTCCCTCCCTGGTCACCCTTTTGTGAGCCCGTAATGACCAGTCAAAGTGAAAGCGGCCAGCAGCGCCGTTAGCTCCCTGGGTCCTGGGGCAACCACATTTAATTAAATTTGGCTTTCTTACTGTTAAGGGCAGGGCAGTGGGGAGGGCGGGCAGTTCCCAACCTCTGTCCAACAGCCCTCAGTGGCCTGCACGGGAGCACAGTGCCTGCTCAAGGCCTCGCTCCCCGCTAAGCTGACGGGGGACCCAGAGCCCACAGGAAGCTGGCTGTCCCACAGGCCCCGGACACGAGTGTGCAGCCTCGCCTTCTGCCACTGAGCGGGCTGCGGATGCAGCTGCTCCTCTGGGGTGTGCCTGGGTGCCCTCCTGGGGTACAAGTCTCAGGAGGAGGTGTCCACATCCACCCCACAGGCTGACCCACAGGTGCTACCTGCGTGGTCCCTGTGGCCAGGTGCAGACCCCTGGGTGTGGTCACAAGTGTCCTCGTCTGTCACCTGAGCAGCATCCGGGGACCTGGCCGGCCTGGCCGGTGCGGGCAGTGAGTGGGTGGTGCAGAGACAGAGATGCCACGGGGGGCGGGGCGGCCGCTGTGGGCTGGGGGGGGGGCTCCACTTGGGGCTGTGGTGACCCCTGCCGTCTGGGCCTGACTGCAGGTGATTAAGGCCGGAGTGGAGACGACCTGCAAGTGCCACGGCGTGTCAGGCTCCTGCACCGTGCGGACCTGCTGGCGGCAGCTGGCGCCCTTCCACGAGGTGGGCAAGCGTCTGAAGCACAAGTACGAGACAGCGCTCAGGGTGGGCAGCACCACCAACGAGGCCACCGGTGAGGCGGGCGCCATCTCCGCAGCCCGGGCCCGGGCCTCGGGGACCCGCAGTGACCCGCTGCCCCACACGCCAGAGCTGGTGCACCTGGACGACTCGCCCAGCTTCTGCCTGGCGGGCCGCTTCTCCCCAGGCACGGCCGGCCGCCGGTGCCACCGGGAGAAGAACTGCGAGAGCATCTGCTGCGGGCGGGGCCACAACACGCAGAGCCGGGTGGTGACCAGACCCTGCCAGTGCCAGGTGCGCTGGTGCTGCTATGTGGAGTGCCGGCAGTGCACCCAGCGTGAGGAGGTCTATACCTGCAAGGGCTGAGCCCTGGCCGCAACCTGTCCTGTTCTGTGGGGTGCAGGCACCCCACACAGAGTGAGTGGTCTACACCACCAGGGCTGAGCCCCCAGGCCCGGCCAGCCTTGCTCTGTGGGTGTAGGCATTGCACAGTGTGAGGGAGTCTGTACCGGGTGTAGACATTGCACACAGTGTAGGGCTCTACACCTGGAATGGCCAAGCCACTGCACATGGCAGCAGGCATCTGTACCTGCGAGGGCTTTGGCTCCAATGCCCACAGTGGCCGGGGACTGGTCCAGTGGCCCCTGCCTGGCTCCCCTCCACCCTGCATGTATCCCGGGCCACAGCTTCCTGCCCTGACACGAGAGCATTGTTGCAATGCTTTCTGAGTTGTCTCTGTCCCTGACACACCTGTCCTGGAGTGTGGCCCTCATCTGGTCTCTTGACTGGCCCCCCCTGCCTCCAGGCTCACTCGGAGGCTCGGGAGGCCAGCACACCTTTGTAACCACGCGGCTGCCCGTGGGAACAGCCTGGACCGGCACCTGGCACTGGCACCTGGCACTGGCCCCAGCACTGTGTTCAAAGAGTTAAACCACTAGGAGAGAGTGCCGGCCACCTGTGTCCAGACCTGCTGCCCAGGGGCCAGGCTTAGGGGGCTTTGCTGTCCCTCTCTGACATTGAGCACTTCTTTTGGAGTGAAATCAGTGACTTTTAAATTATTATCCTTATTTAACTAATGTAATAATTATCCCCCCACCCTCCGGCCTTGCTCCCCCGTGGCTCCCAGGGCCAGTCTGGGAGGCTCCTCCTTCCCTCCCCAGCACACCCTGTTTGGTTTGTCCTTGGAAACCACTATTCCAGATTATCTTGTTTTTAAATGAAGAGCTGCCTGGCCACAGCCCTCGGGGCCTCTGGCAGCAGCCACACGATGGCAGAGCCACCTGGTGGCCCCTGCTCTGCACCTTGGAGCAGGTGGCCCAGTGCCCAGGCAGGAGTGGCTGTGGGTAGGCGTGGTGGAGAGTCAGAGCCTCACTTGCTCTGTGTCACTGGGAGGCAGGCGGGCACAGGTGCAGTGTGCCTAGCTTTGGCCACAGGATGCTCTTCTTCTGGCAATGCTGTCTTTGCAGGGGAAGCAGCCGATGCCAAAGGGATTGGTTTGCGAGTGTGTGTGTGTGTGTGTGTGTGTGTGTGGTGTATGCACACGCGTGTGGTAGGCTGGCGTGGCAGCTGGGTTGCACCCTTCTCAGCACCACATGGTGCCTCTGTGGCCTGAGCTCTTCGGGTGGTGTTCCTGCAGGTGTGGCTGGGGTCTGGGCAGGCTGCAGTGGGTGCTGGGACTATTCAGTGAGGGGCGGCTTCCTCGGGGCCCCAGGGGTCCAGGAAGCTTCGGGGACTGTGTTTTAAAGAAAGCCTGTTTCTGGGGACACGGGTCTCTGGCAGTCCTGGAGAGTACATGTGGCAAGGTGAGCCCTGTGGTCGATGACAGCCTGGTCACGGCCCATCCCCAGACACAAGCGTGGTGGCCTGGGTCGTGGTACTGGGGAGGTCCGGCTGGGGTTAGGTGGGCCGCAGACAAGGGCCCCTGCCCCTGCCCCTGCCCCTGCCCCTGCTGTCTGTGGCTATAAGCCCACAGCAGACCTGCCAGGTGCTCCCGCAGCTTAGCTCAGCACCGGCAGGTGTGGCACAGTTGTCCCAAGTGAAGGGAAGGGTGTTTTTATCAAATACCACATTTGGCTCTATGTCCTCAATATTCAGAAAAATATTTTTTTAAACGAGGTGGGCACTCGTGTCCGCTGGCTGTTTCTATGCAAGTGTGTGCTAGAATGTCTTGCTAACTGCAGCAGCAGGTCTTCGGTGGCAGGGTGGAGGGAAGGGAGGTCCCCTGCGCCTGGCCCATTGGACCCAGACCCAAGGCTCACTGTGGCTGGGCGGCCGGGCCACACGGGGCATCTTTGTGCTGAGTCTGCGCGAGCCTGTTGATTTCTCTACCTCATCTGTGTAGCAAGTAGGTGTGTACCTGAGTGACTGTGGAGAATGTATTTATTTAACAGCTTTGTATAACAGAACCGGAAACAATGGAAACACTAAATAAATGTATTTTAAATTATAGCGAAACTCAGCCCGGTGCCTTCCTGAGGATCCCAGGGGTCAGCACGGTAGATGGGTGGGGAGGTGGGTGGGGGACAAGGAGACCTGGGGTCGAGGGGATGTAGAGGAAGAGCACTGGGGAGGAGAAGGACCTGGTAAGAACATGGGGTGGAGCAGAGGTGCGGAGGAAGTGGAGCAGCTGGTGAGCAACAGAAGGACCCAGACGGCAGGAGAACAGGAGGAGGATGTGCAGAGGGAGATGAGGCGGAGGGGGGGGGGGGGGCAGAGGTGCGGAGGAGAACGGGGGGGGGGGAGGAAGAGGAAGGCCAGGAGGCCTTGGGGAGGCAGAAGAACACGTGGGAGCAGCAAGACATGGGGGAGATTGAGGGAACAGGAGGACTGAGCTTGTGAGAAGGAGCCAGGCAAGAAGGAGGAAACCCTGGAGGGAGGAGGCGAGAGGCGGAGGGAGACTGTAAGTGGGAGGCGGAGACGGTGGGAGGCGGAGACGGTGGGAGGCGGAGACTAAGTGGGAGGCGGAGACTGAAAGTGGGAAGGGCACCTGGAGCAGGACGCGGGCCGGGGGAGGAGGTCGTGTTAGAGCCGGTTCTGAGCTGTGCACAAGGCTGGGGCAGGGCCTCCCCTGCCGGATGCCTCCCTGCAGGCTCTCGCTCCCTGCACTGGGTCCCTGTGTGGCCTGCAGCCCTGGCCTCAGGGTCCTCACTGCATGACTCCTGCTTTCAAGGTGTTGCCAGCTACTGCTGTGACCACACCGGCGGGGTTCCTGCCCCTGCCACCGTGCCCTGGGGCCCTGAGCCAGTCCTGCCCCGTGCCCAGGACCTGCCCACCGCAGATGTGGATTGTGCTGTCCAGGTCCAAGCCCCTGCAGACCCTAGCGTCGGACCCGACATGGGCACCGCAGCTGGGCAGGCACAGGCAGAGCCCTCCTCGCCTGGGGCCCGCGGCCAGGGCGCTCCCTGGGGCTTCTCCCCATCAGTGCTGGGCCAGCAGATCAGGCTGGGGTCCCAGGCCTGGGGTTGCGAGCACGAGTATGCCTGCCTGCGTGTGTCTGTCCGTGTTTCTGTGTGAGTGTCACACACAGGTGTGTGTCGTGTCCTGTGTCTGTGCCTTATGTGTATGCATGTGCGTGGCCATGACCACGTGTGGTCTCCTCGTGTCTGTGTGTGTGGTGTGTGTGGGTGGGAGCCCCGCCTCCTGCCCAGCCCTCTCTGGCCTGGGCTGCAAAGCCGGGTTGGGTGGAGACACCCCCCACCCCCCCACCCCACCCCCGTGCAGTGGGGCACTGCCCACCGGCTCCAGGCAGGGCAGGGAGGAGGCTCTGCCTGCAGCCATGCCGCAGGGGAGGGAGGAGCAGGATACACCTCACAGCTCAGCTGCCTCAGGGCTCCCTCCGGAGGTGGAAACGGGACACGGGACACAGGTGGCTCGTGAGCAGGGCCAGCGGGGGCCTGGTTCCCCTCCCAGGGCAGGCAGCGGACACTGCCGGGGGATGGGGCGCGCGCACAGGGAAGGAGGCCTGGCTGGGCACACCGGGCTGGAGTGGGGGCGAAGGGGCAGAGGAGGGGGCGGAGGGAGGAGAAGAGACAGCAGCCACCTGGGCTCCACGGCCTCACTGCGTCAGGGTCGCGGGCTGCACACGGCGGGGTCGGCAAGGATTCTGCTCGGGAGGAAGGAGCCGGCCTGGTCCTGGACTGCGCGCGAGATCAGGAGACCCCAGGCAAGTGGTCCTCTCGGCCGGGCCGGGAGCCGTGCGCCTGTCCCTCCGTCTGGCCTCACCCCGGACAGCCTCTGCCCTGCAGCTGCCTCCTGGATGCAGCTGGGTGCGTGCGGGGCTGTGCATGGCGTCCTCTGGCCTTGGGCCCCTCCTCGCCCGGGGACATCCACACCCTGCTCCCACGGGCGCCCCCACTGGTGCCCCTCCCACCACCCTCCTCCAGGCCTGCTGGTTCTCACCATGTCGCCTCCCTAGGGCCACGCGGCTCACGTGGCCCCCGGGGGTGCTCCAGGGAGAGCAGGCTGCATCCTGGCCCAGGAGCAGCGCCCTGGGAGCGGGTCAGATCAGGGTGAGGACAGGCCTGCGCCCTGGGTGGGCATGGCATTGCTCCTCCGCCCTGTCCCTCTGGGGCCTCAGTTTCCCCAGCCTGTGTGGAGTGGGCTGCTGGCCACAGTCTGGCTCGGTGGCCCCGACCTTGGTGGCACCTGGAGGAGGCCCGGTGGGGCTGCAGGGCTGGTCCTGGCCAGAGGCCTTCTGGTTGCCCTGGGGAGGGGGCAGAGCAGGGGGTGCAGCTGGTTGCCAGGGAAACTGGCACCAACAAACACTCCCCTCCCGGCCTGTGGGGGCCAGATGACCTCATCTGCCCACCCACGGCTCAGCTTAGCCGGCTGGAGGTGGGGGGTCCGCTGTTTGTGCTGGGCCCTGAGCCATGGAAACCAGTGCGGAAAGCAGCAGTGGGCTGGGGCTGGGTGGGTGACTCCTGCTGTGGTCCCGAGCAAGCTCGGCCAGGCCTCCCACCCACACAGGCCTCGGAGGAGGGGATGGCGGGGAGAGGAGATGGGGAGGGGCCCTGGAGCGCAGGAAGAAGGGCCGCGCGGGCAGGTGGGGCTGTGGCAGAGCTGCAGGGGTCAGCGCTGGGTGGGCGTCACCCAGACTGGAAGCCCAGCCCTGCAGACACAGCCACAGCCCTCAGGACAGGTAAGGCCACAGCAGCCACTCTGGGCCCTCTCCCTCCCTCTCCCTCCCTCTCCCTCTCTCCCCCTCCCTCTCCCTCTC